ATGAAAACCTATATGCCAACAAGCTGGAAAACCTAGAAGAAATGGACAACTTCCTAGAAAAATACAACCTCCCAAGACTGACCAAGGAAGAAACACAAAAGTTAAACAAACCAATTACAAGCAAAGAAATTGAAACAGTAATCAAAAAACTACCCAAGAACAAAACCCCGGGGCCGGACGGATTTACCTCGGAATTTTATCAGACACACAGAGAAGACATAATACCCATTCTCCTTAAAGTGTTCCACAAAATAGAAGAAGAGGGAATACTCCCAAACTCATTCTATGAAGCCAACATCACCCTAATACCAAAACCAGGAAAAGACCCCACCAAAAAAGAAAATTACAGACCAATATCCCTGATGAATGTAGATGCAAAAATACTCAATAAAATATTAGCAAACAGAATTCAACAGTATATCAAAAGGATCATACACCATGACCAAGTGGGGTTCATCCCAGGGATGCAAGGATGGTACAACATTCGAAAATCCATCAACATCATCCACCACATCAACAAAAAGAAAGACAAAAACCACATGATCATCTCCATAGATGCTGAAAAAGCATTTGACAAAATTCAACATCCATTCATGATAAAAACTCTCAGCAAAATGGGAATAGAGGGCAAGTACCTCAACATAATAAAGGCCATATATGATAAACCCACAGCCAGCATTATACTGAACAGCGAGAAGCTGAAAGCATTTCCTCTGAGATCGGGAACCAGACAGGGATGCCCACTCTCCCCACTGTTATTTAACATAGTACTGGAGGTCCTAGCCACGGCAATCAGACAAAACAAAGAAATACAAGGAATCCAGATTGGTAAAGAAGAAGTTAAACTGTCACTATTTGCAGATGATATGATACTGTACATAAAAAACCCTAAAGACTCCACTCCAAAACTACTAGAACTGATATCGGAATACAGCAAAGTTGCAGGATACAAAATTAACACACAGAAATCTGTAGCTTTCCTATACACTAACAACGAATCAATAGAAAGAGAAATCAGGAAAACAATTCCATTCACCATTGCATCAAAAAGAATAAAATACCTAGGAATAAACCTAACCAAGGAAGTGAAAGACTTATACTCTGAAAACTACAAGTCACTCTTAAGAGAAATTAAAGGGGACACTAATAAATGGAAACTCATCCCATGCTCATGGCTAGGAAGAATTAATATCGTCAAAATGGCCATCCTGCCGAAAGCAATATACAAATTTGATGCAATCCCTCTCAAATTACCAGCAACATTCTTCAATGAATTGGAACAAATAATTCAAAAATTCATATGGAAACACCAAAGACCCCGAATAGCCAAAGCAATCCTGAAAAAGAAGAATAAAGTAGGGGGGATCTCACTCCCCAACTTCAAGCTCTACTACAAAGCCATAGTAATCAAGACAATTTGGTACTGGCACAAGAACAGAGCCACAGACCAGTGGAACAGATTAGAGACCCCAGAAATTAACCCAAACATATATGGTCAATTAATATTTGATAAAGGAGCCATGGACATACAATGGCAAAATGACAGTCTCTTCAACAGATGGTGCTGGCAAAACTGGACAGCTACATGTAGGAGAATGAAACTGGACCATTGTCTAACCCCATATACAAAGGTAAACTCAAAATGGATCAAAGACCTGAATGTAAGTCATGAAACCATTAAACTCTTGGAAAAAAACATAGGCAAAAACCTCTTAGACATAAACATGAGTGATCTCTTCTTGAACATATCTCCCCGGGCAAGGAAAACAACAGCAAAAATGAGCAAGTGGGACTACATTAAGCTGAAAAGCTTCTGTACAGCGAAAGACACCATCAATAGAACAAAAAGGAACCCTACAGTATGGGAGAATATATTTGAAAATGACAGATCTGATAAAGGCTTGACGTCCAGAATATATAAAGAGCTCACACGCCTCAACAAACAAAAAACAAATAACCCAATTAAAAAATGGGCAGAGGAACTGAACAGACAGTTCTCCAAAAAAGAAATACAGATGGCCAAGAGACACATGAAAAGATGCTCCACATCGCTAATTATCAGAGAAATGCAAATTAAAACTACAATGAGGTATCACCTCACACCAGTAAGGATAGCTGCCATCCAAAAGACAAACAACAACAAATGTTGGCGAGGCTGTGGAGAAAGGGGAACCCTCCTACACTGCTGGTGGGAATGTAAATTAGTTCAACCATTGTGGAAAGCAGTATGGAGGTGCATCAAAATGCTCAAAACAGACCTACCATTTGACCCAGGAATTCCACTCCTAGGAATTTACCCTAAGAACGCAGCAATCAAGTTTGAGAAAGACAGATGCACTCCTATGTTTATCGCAGCACTATTTACAATAGCCAAGAATTGGAAGCAACCTAAGTGTCCATCAGTAGATGAATGGATAAAGAAGATGTGGTACATATACGCAATGGAATATTATTCAGCCATAAGAAGAAAACAAATCCTACCATTTGCAACAACATAGATGGAGCTAGAGGGTATTATGCTCAGTGAAATAAGCCAGGCAGAGAAAGACAAGTACCAAATGATTTCACTCGCATGTGGAGTATAAGAACAAAGAAAAAACTGAAGGAACAAAATAGCAGCAGAATCACAGAACCCAAGAATGGACTAACAATTACCAAAGGGAAAGGGCCTGCGGAGGATGGGTGGGAAGGGAGGGATAAGGGGGGGAAAAGGAAAGGGGGCATCACGATTAGCATGTATAATGTCGGGGGGGGCACAGGGAGGGCTGTGCAACATAGAGAAGTAGTGATTCTACAGCATCTTACTACGCTGATGGACAGTGATTGTAATAGGGTTTGTGGCAGGGACTTGGTGAAGGGGGGAGTCTAGTAAACATAATGTTCCTCATGTAACTATAGATTAATGATACCAAAAAAAAAACTATAAAAACAAAACAAAAACAGAAAACAGTAACAGAAATGAAACTTTTAATAGGATCATCAACAGGAACACTGAATGCCTAAGAAGGAATCAATGAACTTGAAGACGGGACACTAGAAATTACACAAATTGAAAAAGCACTGAGATAAAAGCTAAAAAACAAAGGCATCAAAGAGCTGTGACACAATAGCAAATGTCTATCATACATGTAATGGGAATCCCAGGAGAAGAGAGAACATAGCTGAAGAAATAATGACCAAAATTTCCCCAGATTAATTAGGAAACATAATAACTAAAAATACAAAAAGAATATATGTGTTTATAGAATTCCTAAACAAATCATAAAACTTTAGCACCTCAAAAGAAAAAGATTAATTTGACATGACCTAAATTGTATAAAACAATGTTAAACTAGAATGTTTGTGACAAGTATGACAGAATATCCAGAATGTATCCTAAAAATAAAATAGCAGAAAAATGGGTAAAAGTCATAAAGAGACAATTCATACAATAAACTCCATGTGAATGGGGTTTCATCTGTTTTGTTCACTACTTAGTCCCAGAAAAGTACTGTTCAGAACAGTAATTGGCACACATAGGCTCTTGATAAATATGTAGATAGAATAAAGGAACTCACAAGCAGAAGAAAAACTAATGCTTATTTACACGTTACAAAGTCTTCAACCTCACTGGTTATAAGGAATAAACAAAACAGGAAGGCATTTTTTGCCCTTAAGATTAGGAGATATAATAAAATATAAAATGTTAAGGGCATAGAGAAAAAGCATCTTTGTATTAGTGGTGAAATAATAAATTGGTAACATTTTCTGAAAGGACACTTGGCATTATCAAATTTAAGTGTCCATGCTCTTTCTCTAAGGAATTCTATTTCATCCATTATCCACCATAGAGAAACACATCTGTTTACGTGTACACGTGTTCTGGGGATCATGTGTATAATGCTGATTACATTAACCCTACTTGTAAGAGCAAAAACTTAGAAACAATTTAAATAAATATCAACAGGGTAATTGTTAAAGTATGACATATACAATAGGTAATTAAAACATATTAGACCTATATGTGCTAAATAGAGTGTGAAGAAAACAAGTTATAGTGATTCTGTTCTTTAAAAAAAGTCTAGTGGATGCAACAACTGTGAAAAGTTGATGGAAACTAGGTATTTGCATGTTGCCAAAGTATCCCCCATATATACATTAATGGCAAAGGGAAACATCTGTACAACAGAGAAATAAGGTAGTTACTACCTTAACCCAGTGATAGAACTAGCTGCACTCAAATATTATTACCAGACATTATTGCCCTCTGACACGATGCAACATGAAAAGATGCATCACCTATTAAAGTATTTTTGCCAAAAATCTTTTACCTGATTTAAAGCTAACTTCTAGTTTACAGGAATATGAGGTATAGAGGAACAGTTAAACAATGATACAAAGAAACAATCAGGCCAATTTGGAATGTGGGGCCTCATTACAGAAAATGATTTGCTCTCCAAAAACCCTAAGTTAGTGGGGAAAAAGGTCAAAGGAAGGGCAGGGATGTTTTATGCTAAGGAGATTTAAGGTAGCATAATGATGTGTAAGACATAGTACTTGATTAAACAGCTATAAGAGACACCTGGGACTGTCTGGCGACATCTAAATCTGGACTGACTACTAACAACATTAGGAAATTATAGTTATTTTTGTTAAGTTATGGTAAGTGTATTGTGGTCATGTAGTAAAGTATTTTTTTGAAGACATATGCAGACATATTTAGTAGTGGAGTGTCTTTATATCTGCAATTTACTTTGAAACAGTTCAGAAAAAAAAAGTTTATAAAGCAAATGTAACAAAATATTGGCAATCATTAAATCTGGGTGTAAGTATATGGGTGTTTTGTTATTTCTACTTTTCTGAATAAAGCTGTATGTCTATGTATGTACTATATTTGTATATAAGCAGGAAAACTACATTCATGGTGATCACAGCTGGTTAGCTTCTGGAATTTGGTAAATGAGTACAGAAGGCAAGTCTAAAAACAGGAACAGAAAAGAACATATGGATAGTGTACCAACCTTGACATATTCAACAGCTCTTGGAGAAAAATCACAGGCATAAGCAAAAATATTCAGGTCTTCTTCTAAAAGCGGGAATAAACAGTTCCCAACCCCACAACCAGCTTCAAGCATAGTCAATTTTTGATCTTCAAACTGAGGAAATAAAACCCAAAGTTACAGTATATTTGCATCATAGAGAAACAAACCAAACTAAAAAAGTCCAGAACACAAAAGACAAGGTCCCTGGCCCTATGGAGCAGACAGTGAGTGAACTAATAATCAAAAGCTAATACTACTACCTCATTTGTTGTCCAACATCGGGCAATTTGGTGTGGAGAAAACACAGCGTAAGGGCTAACAGGCTCTGGAGCAAAAGTCCCTGGACCCAAATCTAGACTCCTCCTCTCACCCCTGTATTTCATCATTGGGCAAATCACTTAAACAGCTTTGTGACTCAATTTTATCGGCAAGTGAGGATGAGACTGATATCTACTTCAGTGTCATTACAAGGCTTATATTACAGAACACATGTAAACTTCTAGAAAAGGCCGATGGTAAAGTATTCATCATTATTATGACCTGAATCACTCAGTACAAGTTTAATATTTACAACTTTCAGATTAGCTTTAAAGAAATGGAAAATGCCCAGTAAAGTTCTCTCTCCACAGGTTATTATACAACCCAGGAACTGCTAAAACTACTTGAGACCAAACAGTTTCTAAGGTACAAAGCATTCTGGTAGACTTCATAAATTCTCTACCTCCCACTCCCCATTGGGATGCAATAAACACCTCTCTTCTACACATTTTAAATGAAAAACAGCTCAAATAAGGTGTAATATTATTTTACCTCCCTACATGATCTGAGCTCTTCAAACTCTCTGGTGGTCCAGTGTCTGTCTTTGAAGAAATTAATACTATTTCTTTTGTAAAAAAGGTCCCAGTTCTTCTGAGCCTCTTGTTCCAGTTTTTGCTGTTTAAAATCAGACACTAAAGTTTGGTCTCTTTTCAATTTCTCCACTTCCTCAGAGCTGAGAATCCTTGCCTGCAGCCCTTTTCTTTGCAAAGCCATCTGACTAAGTTGAAGGTAATATATTTAGCACGGCTGAAGATTCTCCATCCTTGAATAAACCTGAGAAATCCAAGCGGACGTTGCAGACATAGGCAGGATTTTCTCAGATGTGGTTCCTCGGGGTGGGTTCATGACTCAGAGAAAACTGGGTGCTTCACAGGAAAAAGAATGAGATTCTGGTTAGTAGTCCTAAGACAGTTCTTTCACTAAATAGTATTATATGCCAAACAGTTCTTTCGCCAAACAGTATTAAACTCACCAAACGTTTACTATATGCCGACTCTTCACAAAATCCTGCCCACTGTACAGGAGGTCACAAAGAGGGCCAAGCCAGTCCCTGCCTTCGGAGGGTTTACATTCAGTGGCCAGGGATCTCATGCACCGAACTCCAATTCAAATTAGAATAAGCCAACTATTATAAGTCGGTTTAGTTTAGAAAAAGGACACTCCCAAGAGTTCACTGAGGCAACCTGAGAGAAAATACTCGCCAATTTTCGGTGTCCGTGAAAGGGGTGACTTAAAAACAACAGCTGCCCGAACTGGAGGCGAGCTGCCGATTGCTGGACAGCTGTGGGTTCAGTCACCCAAGGACAGAGACTCAGGGTTTCCAGGGAGACGGAGCAGAGCGCGGGCGGCCAGAGTCTAACTGCACGCCCGAGAAGCTGTCTCATGAACCAGAGGGCGGCGCTTTGCAGGAAGGACCTGGCCTCGCATCTTCATCATGGCGCAACCGGGAAGAGCCCCAATGACGCGGCGTGGGGTCCCGAAGAGCCCATCCGTCTCCGGACCTCCGGGATAAACTGGGCCGCCGGGGCCGATAGGGCCTGCGGAGAGCCGGCCGTACGGGCTCCCGGACCCGCGCTAGCCCGCAGCGTGCCCCGCTAACCGTCACCAGCTCCCAGATTCACCGGGAGGGGCAGGGCGCGGCCATCAAGCAGACACAGACTTCGGACGCAGAACTTGGGAGGCGACGCGGGGCGGCCCTGGCCCTGGAAGTATAGCCCCGAGGCCCTCGAACTGGGGTTCCCCGGGTGGAATCCTTTCCCCATGGCACAGCCCCCGCCACTTCCGCTACGGACACGGAAGTCCCGCCCCGACGCCGGAAGTCCCGAGGCCTTGCTCCCCGAGAACCTTCCCCGACTCCGCCGCGGAGGGTGGGACTGGCTTTCGGCCCCGGGTGGGCTCCTGCTGGGCTGCCTGTGTGCTCCGGAGCGGTGTCTCGGGAGCACTGTTCTCCCGGACGCCGGCCCCGAAAGCTCGGGCCGCCGCCGCGCCAGGGTAGCGCCTGTCCCGGTGCGAGGCCCTTGCGGGGCCATGAACGGGACGGCGAACCCTCTGCTAGACCGCGAGGAACACTGCCTGCGGCTGGGAGAGAGCTTCGAGAAGCGGCCGCGGGCCTCTTTCCACACGATTCGCTGTAAGTCGTAGCTCCCTATGGTCGCCCCCGGCCGCTCCGGCGCCTCTCGCCCTTCTCGGCGCGCTCCGCACTTCCCTCGGCTGTCCTGAGTGCGGGGAAGCCCTGCCGGCGTCGGCTCCCTGCGCCCTTACCCCAGGTCCTCCCGTCGGTTTCTTTTCGCTTACTCCTTCCAAACCAGACCCCTCGTCACTCCCAACTTCTGCCTCGCGGTCCCAAACCTCTTCCGAAAGGCGTCGGGACCTTCCTCTTGCTCTCCCCGGCCCTACCTAGCCCTTCCCAGGCCGCCCCTACACTCTTTTATTACCGAAAGGCTGCGACCCCACATCAGAATCCAGTTGTCCCCCTAACCCAACCCCGCCCCTTTCTGATCACCCCACCAGGGTTCTCCACACTTAAAGGACTCCTCCCTTTGCTCCTGAACCTCCTCTACTCCCTCCTGTTCATTCTCTTCTTCCCTGTTTTCCTTGTCGTCCGTCTTTGTTCTCGTCACCCTAACACTGCGCGTCATCCCCAGAGAATCCGCATCCTCCTCATTTAACTGATGTCTTTTGAGGTCACCTATACTATCCTGACTCTAATTCAGGACCAAGTTCCTTGTGGGTGAGTAGTAAAATTAGAATTTGTGAGCCTGGAATAAGTTAAAGCTTGATCTATGTTTGGAAGCAGAACAGGCCTAAAGAATGTTGAAATAGTCATTATGCTGACCTTCTTTTTCTGCATGATTACAGACTCTGTTAAGGGAGGGCACTTCCACTGGGTAAAGATTTGGATATTAGGAATGGCTGACTGAGCATCCATGCCTCTGGTTTCACAAGCAAGCTCCTGGTTTTCCGTCTTAGTAGTGCTAATGCTGGTTAAGACTTGTTTTTGTCAGAGGAGCTAATAGATGTGACTCAACACATTAGAGGAGGGCGTGATAGATAATGAAGTTCCATCTTTCTGTGGTCACTTGCTTTGCCATTACTATACTTACTTCTACTGACAGCAGATCAGCTGTTTTAGAGGGAGGATTCTGGTCGGGAATGTGATAGAAGCATCATTTCCTGAGCAGTTTACTAAGTTGATATTTTAGTAGAGTGAAAGACAATATGGGACTTAAGTTGAGACACTTCACATATGCACCTGACTTGCAGTTTGAGGCAGGTGTGTGTTAAAATGGAATAAGATGACAATTCATGTTATCCTACAACTGCAGTTCAGAAACATTGGCAAAATTAACTTTTGGAGATACAGTTCAGCCATCTGCTCCCAATACCTACAGGAGTATCTTTGTTAAAACTCGAACTTGAGTGTGGCAAATCTTACTTCTGACAGTTCCTATGCAAAATAAAATCAGCTTACATGATGCCATGGCCTTTCATATTTCATATAGGGCTTTATAATCACAGAATCTTTTTAAAATGCTCTGTTGCTTTTGATCCTCACAACAACCCTAATAAAACACCTCACTGGGGATAAGGCATTAATTTTCATCTGTCACTTGTGTATAGGGAATATCTTTGCTTAATAAAATGGTATATAAATTCTTGCTTTTTTTTTTTCCTTCAAAATAATCCAGTGAGAATGGGAGGAAAAGTATGTGGAGGCATAGATGTAACAAGAGTGTCCCTGATTTGGTAATCATTGAAGCTGGGTAATGGTACACAGCAAATTGTACTGTTCTCTCTGCTTTTGTACTTGTGACATTTTCCACTGAAATAGTTTTTCAGAAATTCTGAATTATTTGTATTTTCCATTTAGATGAGTAATTTAAAAAATTAATTCTTAAGTGAAAATGCCCATGAAGCTCTTAGTATAAGTAAGCTAGTAGAGTAATGCTTTTTTTCCTTTTCCCTTAGATGACTTTAAGCCAGCATCTATAGACACTTCTTGTGAAGGAGAGCTTCAGGTTGGCAAAGGAGATGAAGTCACAATTACACTGCCACATATCCCTGTAAGTTCATTCCATTGTTTTTAATGTGGAATCACAGTGAGTCCTTATATTCTGTTACTGCAATTTGAATTTCCTACTCTTTAAGATTTTCTAGATTTTGAAAGTGCCAACTAAGGAAAAGAGGAATTTTGGGGGTGTAATGGAATTCATGCTCCCCAGGTGCTTGAGTTAAAATGATTTAAATTGCCATTTTTCCAAACTCTTTTTCCCCAGCCTTGCTACAAAGTAGACAGCAGAGAGTCTGGACACCTAGACCTTCTTTTAGGCAGTTCCAACTAGAAAAGCCCTAGGTGCCATACTGATACGGCACCAGCAGTTTAGAAGTGTGGGGCTGCTAAGCCACGAGTTACGGCAGTCAGGAGCAGGCTGACGGCTTTCAGATATCTGGCAAAGGATGAAGTGAAGGTTGATCATTTCAGAGCACTCAGGTAACTTAGCTGAACCTAGTTAAAAGCTAAATTGAGAACCCTTGTGGAGAAAGACTTTTCTTAAAGCATTGCCCAAGGTAGCACTCTGATCCCAAAGCCTGAAGAATCAGATAAAATACTCTTAAAAACGTGTCATTGAATGTTACAGCCTTGTCCTGGAATAAGTTCTTGGTAACAAGAGAATGAATGAAAGGCTCTGGACAAGGAAACATGGGAAGCTTTGTGCTGAGAAAAAAATTACTTGTCTGTCAGTTCAAATTGCTGTTTCATTACTTAAGGTCTCTGGCAGGTTACATCATCTCCCTTCAGACCTGAGTTTCCCAAATGCAAAAAGAAGGGATTATGTTAATGGTCCCTTAGGGCCCTTCTAGATCTGAATTTTTGCTACATAAATAAGTGGTCAAGGAGCCAAGCAGTTTTTGAAGGATTAAATCCTATATTTGGCAAATATTAATTGAGCACCTACTGTGTGCTTGTGCGCTGGCCCATTCTGGGCATTGAGTATAGGATCTTGAACAAAACAAGCACATTTACTGCCCTTGTGGAGCTTGCGATCTGGAGTTCAGATAAATACAAGAAGAAAGCATAGCATTTATTTTAGAAAATCTGGGAGGGCTTCCCTAAGGAAGTGACCTCTGAGCAGAACTGAAGGTTGAAGAAAGAGAGGGAGGAGCAGGATCTAGCAGGCAGTAACCTTGTTGAACGCCTTTAAGAAAGAGCTTAAGGATCTAGAGATACTCTGGAGCCTGCAGAGCCCAGGGGTGAGTGGTTTAGGGTGAAACTGAAGGCCCTAATGGCTGGTTTAAAGATTTTGTTCTATGGTCTCAGAGCAGTGGGATGCCAATTGCAGAGTGTAGTTGGATGAGTGGCATAATGTGCTTACTCTGAGCTAAGCAGAATAATGAACCACCCTTAGAGAATGCTCTGTTGGTTATTTTGCATGAGGGAAGCTCTATAAAAGTCCCCAATTACAAGGAAATACAGAGATCAGTCATTAGTTTTACTTCTCATAGTGAAAGTTCTACTTAGTCTAATACCAAGTAATGGCTAATTTATTTTTCTCAGTTCACATGTTACCATTATTGGTAATGTTTCCTGAATCCCTGGGAAAATGTATAGCAATCTAAAAAACTCATATCACCTTTCTTGATTACTTAGAACCAGTTGCACAGTCATGAGTTCTTGCTGTATTATTATTATTTCCCCTTTCTTTTTGCCAGGGAAGTCAAGTTAAATTAGAAATCATTCTGTTATGAGTAGCTTTGATAAGAGTTGATGAGCTAGTCACCTGTAAATTTGGTTTTCATATTCCTAGTCGGTATGTTTAGTTTGATCATCTTCCACTTCTGTGGCATATAGGGGTCCACACCACCAATGACTGTGTTCAAGGGAAACAAGCGGCCTTACCAGAAAGACTGTGTTCTTATTATTAATCACGACACCGGTGAATATGTCCTGGAAAAACTCAGTAGCAGCATTCAGGTCAAGAAAACAAGGTATGTGAATAACTGGATGCAGATTGATATGATGTTTCCATATCTTGGTATCACCTGTCTTGCCAGTGGGTTTCATCACCAGGCAAGTTCACTATGGATTCAGTGTGACCAAAGAAAATTGACAGCAGAATGCTTTTTGGGGTGAAAGGGTTATACCCAACTTTATTTCCAGGTGGCAGGTCAGTCACTAAAATCCCGTTCACTCAGAGTGAATCTGCATGCAGCAAGCCAGTCTCTCCTCTTGCCCCTGGATGCCTCTGTCCACACAGCCGTCCTCTGGGCCTCTCTACCTCTCTACACAGCTGTCCCCTGGGCCTCTCTGCACAGTCATCCCGCAGAGCCATCCTCTGGGCCTCTGTCCTTGGCGCTGCCACCACTCCAGCCTCTGCTCTGCTCTCCTGCAGCCTTGCAGCCCTGCCACCGTGTTGCACCCAGAGCACTGGGCAGAGCTCTTTATATAGAGTCAACAGCCATGTAGTGCCCACAGGTATGCAGTGAGCTAGTCAACCACAGCCAGGTAAGAATCCTGGCCACCGGAACTCTCATTTTATCCACATATCTATTCAAATATTTTATACGGAAGTGAGCATCTGGGTACTCAATGTCCTTGCAATAATCTCAAGAGTAGAATTCTGCCTGCATCTTCTGAGACAAGTCAGTAA